TGAGGCACTGGGTTTGATCCTCAGCACCACATAAAAATAAAATATATTGTGTCCATCTATAACTAAAAAATATTTTTAAAAAAATTAAAAAGGACTGGGGATGTAGATCAGTGGTAAAATACCTCCTGGGATTGAACTCCTGGGGTCAAGCCCAGTACCAAAAAAAAAAAAAAAAAAAAAGAAAAATGAAAGACTACCTTTGCTGCTGCTGCTGCTTTTTTTTAAAAAATTTTTTTAGTTTTAAGTGGACACAATATCTTTATCTTACATTTACATGGTCCTGAGGATGGAATTCAGTGTCTCAAGCATGCTAAGTGAGCATTCTACTGCTGAGCCACAACCCCAGCCCCTTACCTTTGCTTCTTTATATTGACTTTGCTTCTTTGTCAAAGGTTAGTTGATTATGTGTGGGCCTATTTTCTGGACTCTTTATTCTGTTCCTTTGATCTGCTAGTTGTTGAGATTTGTTTTTGCCAATCATACTTATTTTGGTGGAAGAGGTACTGGGGATTGAACTCAAGGACTCCAGACCACTGAGCCACATCCCCAGCCCTATTTTGTATTTTTTATTTAGAGACAGGGTCTTACTGAGTTCCTTAGCCTCCCCGCTGTTGCTGAGGCTGGCTTTGAACCCATGATCTTCCTGCCTCCGCCTCCTGAGCTGCTGGGTTTACAGGCATGCACTGCGCCCTGCTTAATCATACTGTCTTGATTACTGTGGCTTTATACTAAGTCTTAAAGTTATGTAGGGTCAGTGTTCCAATTTTGTTCTTCTCCTTTAATATTATATTGACTATTCTGGATCTTGTACCTATCTAAACTTTGTAATCAATTTGTTGGTATCCACTTGCTATGGTTGGGACTACATTTATAATCTGTATATCAATTTGGGAAAAATCAACATTGTGACACATTTGATGTTTCTGTCCATGAATGTGGAATCTCTCTTCATTTATCTAGTTCATTGACTTTATTCATCAGAGTTTTGTAGTTTTACATCTTGTACATACTTTGTTAGATTATACCTGTATTTATCATTTTAGGGGATGCCAGTGTAAATGGTTTTAATTTCGTATTAAAAACAGGGATTGACTTTCATATATTAACCTTGCATACTTGATGTTATTTCTTTTTTAAAAAAATATTTTTATTTGTAGATGAACAGAATATCTTTATTTTATTTATTTATTTTTATGTGGTGCTGAGGATCAAACCCAGTGCCTCACACATGCTAGGCAATTGCTCTACCACTGAGCTAGAACCCCAGCCCTAGGAATCTTAGTAGTTCCAGGAATACTTCTTGTTGGATCCKTCAGATTTTTTATATAGATGATCAGATCATTTGCAAACAAAGACAGTTTTATATTCTTCTCAATCTGTATTCCTTTTATTTCCTTTTCTTTATTCGTTAGTAAGGATAGTTGAAAWAAAGTGATGAGATGGGATATCCAAAGTGTTCTATTCATATGTAAGTTTAACAATAGAGATAATTTTTTATTTAAATTAGATTTTTAAATTTAAATATATTGAAAGTATAATTTCTTTCTCATTTGCACTAGCCACGGTAGAAGTGCTCCTAATATTCATGTGCCTAGTGACTGCCATATTGGACAGTGGAGGTCTGCAAAAGTCTACTTAGACTACATCAGTAGCTTTAGGTTGTTTTTTGATTCCCTAGAGAAGATTTAGTATTCTGTTTCAGGGTTCAAGACTTTTTTGCAGGGTTCTGAGAGACCAGAGGTGGGAAGTGCTGAATGTCAGTATATAGTAGATGTAGGCTTATTTGGTCTTTTTTGTGTATGTAGGATCATTGCCCACACTGTGCCTGCCATCCCTGAATCCAAAGACCCTTTGTTTCACCCTTTTCTAAGAATAAATTTCCATACTTCTGTTGGAAGATAAAGTAATTTGCCAGTGGCATGGTGGAGCTGGGTTGGGGAATTGGGTTGGGAGTGGATCTAGGGATCATTTTTTTTTTTTTTTTTGATACTATGGATTGAACCCAGGGGCACTTTACCACAGAGCTACATCCCTAGTCCTTTTTATTTTTTATTTTGAAGCAGGGCCTCACTAAGTTGCTGAGGCTGTCCTGGAACTTGGGATCTTCCTGCCTCCGTCTCCTGAGTGCTCAAAGGATCTAACCACTTCTTCAGCAACTTTCTTAATCTTATTGTTGGTCTTCCAATCCCCACCCCATCATTTCCACAGGTATTTGGCACCACTAATTCCTGCACTTTGAAGGTCCTTAAGTGTAATTTGGGTTGATTTTTTTTTTTTTTCCCCTTTCCTACTTCTGGTTCAGGACTTTCTTTCTTTCTGTGTCTTTAGGTAGAATATTGCTATTTCTTTTAATGCCCCAGCTTCAAAACTGGCTGAAATTTCTTTTGTTCTTTCCAACCTTGTAGACTCTTTCCTCCCGTTATTTCTTTCTTTCTGAAAATCCCTTTCCTGTAGATTTAGTGGGGTTTTAAAAAGAGGAGAAATTAGATATTTTGGTTTAATGCCATCTTTTACCTAGAGGTTCTTATTTATCTGTAGTCATGAGCTAATTTTGATGTTTTAAAAATTAATTCAGTATTTATGCTTCCTTCAGTGTCTATATTTGTAGTTAAAGGTTTTAGTGATAGTATTTAGTGGAGGACGCCATAGGAGGGACAGGAAGTGAGGCATTACAAGAGTTTGGTTTTGGCAGCAGAAAAAAATTGACAGCCAACAAGGAGAGTGGTGAAAGTAGAAACATTTAGAGGAAGGATGATTAGAGACTATAAAAAAGTTTGGATGTCTGAAGCACAGAGCACAAATACAGCCTCAATAGTATTTTCTTCCTGGAGTACAGTACTTTTAATTTCTTCTCATGATCTAGGAACTTCTGCCAAACAACAAATGATACAATTTTAAAAACTAAACAAAGCTGTTTCCAAACACCATATATACAGAATCTTTGAGGAAAAACACATAGTATAAAATAAGTAAATCATGTGCCCTCAATATACTTTAGCAGCAGGTTTTCATTTCAAATAATTGGGCTTGTTCCTGGGGCTTTTTTTTGGGTTCTGAAACAGAATTTTGCCTATACTGTGCTTCACTTTGTTGGTTGTTGCTGCCCTCTGTTGGACTAGTTCAGAAAATGCAGCTTTTATTCTGAGTCAGTCACTTTTGTGATCCTCACTCCAAATTGAGCACTAAAATATGGATAATTTTTTTTAAAGGATCAAATATTTCTAATGATGCCCCAGGAAAGCAAGAGAAATGGTGTATCTTCTTATGAAAATGAGTGTTTATTTTTCTTAACTAAAGGCAAGAGTTGGTGATCATGAAATAGAAACCGAAGAATTTGGGGAATGCAAAGATTTTGGGGTTTTGGAATCTGGAGACCTAAGTTCAATACCCAGCTCAGCCTCTAATTGTGTGACTTTAATGATTTATTCCACCTGTCTTAGTATCTGTTTCTTCATTGATACAATTAATAGGTAGAACAGACTTTGAGGACTTCTCTAGGGATTGACAATTTAAGGAAGTAGCTTTAGTTTACAGTATTTTTTCATAGGCAATAATAATGACTAAATCTCAGGCTCTGCCCTTAAGGAACATAGTCTGTAAGGGTATAAAGGAGGCAACAATTTAAAAAATGACAATTATAATCTACGACTAGTGCTACAAGATAGGCAAGTATATATGACTGTGGAAACCTAAGGAAAATTATCTATTCAATTAGAGGAGTTCACAGTTTGAGATGTTCAGTCTATGGTCAGCTGGTCAGCTGATTCCATTGCTCTGGGCCCTAGATGAAGCCATTGCATCATGGTGGAARGGTGTGGCTGAGGGTTATCTGCTCTTGGAAGCAGAGAAAAGGTAGGGCCAAGGCCACATATACTCAAGGCTATACCACCAGTGAGCTAGTTCCTCCAGTCATGTCCCACTTGTTTTACAGTTATCACCCAGTAGTTCAAATTATTAATTTATCAAATGGATTAATTCACTGATGAGGCTACAGCTCTTATAATCCAATGCTTTTACCTCTGAACATCATTACATTGCCTAACATATGAGCTCTTTTGGGGACATTTATAGATTCAAACTATAACACCCATCTACCCACCCTTGTATTTCCTGTTAAGAAATAGAACATTGTAAGTACTCAGAAGCCACTTTGTCCTTTCCCCAATCACAGCTCTTCTACTCACCCTAAGTAACCACTGTTTTGACATTTGTGGTAATCATTCCTTTTCTAATTTTACATCCTAAATAATATTATGTAGTTTTACTTGTTTGTAGGCTCAAGTAAATGAAATAATGATTCAGTAGTATATTTGAGTAGTTACAAGTTCATTCACTTTGCATAATTGTTTTCATTGTATCAATATACTATGTATTTGTCCATTCTACCCTTGATGGCCATTTGTATTGTTGTTTTAGACATTTTATAGTATGACTATTAACACATTTCCTCCTACTTTTACATGCACTTTTCAACATAGTATATATGTAGAAATTGATATGTTGAGTTGTAATTTATGTGCACATTTCACCTTACTAGATAACACTATTTGGTTTTCCTGAGTGGCCCCAGAAGTTTACATTAACACCCACAATATGTAAGATCCTCTGTTGCTGTACARCGAGATAGACATGAAAGTTTTTGGCAGTCTTGAGAGGGTAAAATGATACCTCATTGTGATTATAAGTTGCATTTCCTTGTTTACTAATGAATTTGGGCACATTTCATAATTATTAGTCATTGAATTTACAGTATGTTCAGTTCTCCATCTTACTTTTTTTTTTTAAGAGTCATATGTTAGTGTTCTTCAAATTCTTTCTACTACTGACCTAAGGGACTGTGCTAAATACATTGGCAGAAATTTTTTAGGTTGTGGAAAGTAGCTTAGAGTCTTTCAGTTTATTTTTCTTCCCTTTTTCCCCCAACCCATCTGGTGTTTGGGAAGTGTCTTGGCATTTCACTGATCTCTTTTCTCTTATTCCTCCTGTTTCCTATTTCCTAGACTTTGAAGCGGCTCATGGCAGATGAGGTAAGGAAATTTTGTTTGGCATGTGCATGTTCTTATACTATAATATTTACTGGTTTCCATAAATTTGACTTTCTTTAACTTATAATRGTGATATGGAAGCTAATTTCAGAGCACCCTAAGGCTTTTTCCTAACCCTTTGCTCTATGTTTGGCCCATTGCATGCATTTCCTTGGCACATTGATTAACTTCCAAAGTTAGGCATAGTCTTTAAACTCTAAGCTGATTCGAAGTTTAGATGCCACTCATATCACTTGAAATTCCGCAATGCTTGCAGGTGGTTACTGTTACTTTCAAATGGGTTGAGCTGATAAATGCAGCTGGTTACTCTTTTAAATTTGAACATCTGTACTTGAGGTCTGAGGAATAGTTTGTTAGCATTTGTGTGGCAGAGAGATGTTATATATACCTTGAAAGGACAGTGTATTTTTTCCTGACTAGATGTCATGCAAAGGGGATTTTGAAGAACATATATTGAACTTTAGTTGCCTTAAACACAAGTTCCTTGGAATGTGAAAAAGAAGAAGAGAAAGATTCCTGCCTTTAAGGCATTTACTTATTTATCCTGTATGACTTAATATCTTAAAATCTATGGTCATATTTTACCTCTTCTTCTTCTTCTTCTTTTTTTTTTTTTTTTTGGTGCTGTTAGGGATCAAACCCAGGGCTTTGGGCATGCTAAGCAAATGCTAACCAGAGCCATATCTCCAGCTCGTCATACTCACCTCTCACAGGGAGAAATTTTCTGGAGACCTGGCCACATTTATTATTAGGAAACAAAGAGCACTTTATTGAGATAGTTTTATACATGGGGTACTTTTAGTTTTGTGCTGCTAGAGGTCTTAGAAATGGCAGAACACTATGAATTGTGATATAGAGTATGTGAAAAATGAATAAGTAGTGGATGAAATGTGTTTAAACTCTAGAAATATGAGAACATTTAGTTGTGGCAGGTTGTTTTTTGTTTTGTTTTGTTTGTTTTTGGTCAATTCCCCTTATTAAATTTGAGATGCCTAAGGTGGGGGTGAATAGCTGGGGAAATCAAGATCAAACCTGCCTTTTATAGAGAAATTTGAAATCTTTATACTGTAGTCCTCTTATCTCTGGATAAAGATGAGAGTAGAGTCAGTATGATAAATTAGGAGGAAAATTGATATCTTCTTTTCATGTTAGAAGAGTATTGAASTATTCATGAACCAAAGGAACCATGCATGTGAAAGAGATGAAAGGATTGGTTATTTGGTGTGTAGTTTGTTGTATAAATGAAAATGGAGCACTAATAATACTTTTTTCTGTTTCTCAGCTGGAGAGATTTACCAGCATGAGAATTAAGAAGGAGAAGGAAAAACCCAATTCTGCTCATAGAAATTCTTCTGCCTCTTATGGGGATGACCCAACAGCACAGTCCTTGCAGGATATTTCTGATGAGCAAGTTCTAGTTCTCTTTGAACAGATGCTGGTAAGTTTCCCACCTCAAAATGTTATTTTTCCTAAAAATTGTATGTATGAGCATGGTGGGGGTTTTGTTTGTTTTTGCTTTTTTTAAAAATGGATGGTCCCCTTAATCAGCCCTTATTTTAAAGCATTTTAGGCTTTAATACAAAGAATAACCACATTTATATCTGAAGAATTTTTATCAGTCATAATAGCTTAAATCTCTAGGAATCCTGAAAGCATATTTATTCAATAAKCATTTATTGTGCTGAACTCATCACTAAGTGTAATAAGCGTTAAACACTTAAAAACTTGTAATGAATTTAAGGCAATTATATTTTTCTTTTTTTCTTCCTCTACTAGCTGGATATGAACCTGAATGAGGAAAAACAGCAACCTTTGAGAGAGAAGGACATTGTCATCAAGAGGGAGATGGTGTCCCAGTACTTGCACACTTCCAAGGCTGTGAGTCTTGGGGCAGGTACCCATGACATGGGAGACTGCCCTTAGTTTGGACCTGTTTATTTTGTTAATTTTATATAACATTTTATGTCTGTGTCAATTGTGTTTTATTCCATTACATAAGCCTACTCTTTTTTTTTCTTTTTTTACACTCTCATTTGAGTTACCACTCTTTTTTTCCCCTCCTTCAGTAGTGGGGATTGAACCGAGGGCCTTGCAAATGCTAGAAAGCACTCTACCACTCAGAGCTACGTTCTCCCAGCCTTTTTCCAAAATTTTATTTTAAGCCAGGATCTTGCYAACTTGTTCTGGCTGGCCTTGAACTTGAAATCCTTCTGCTTCAGCCTCCTGTAGTTTGTGCCACACATTCAGGCTGAGTTACCATTCTTAAATACTTTTTGCATGATATAAACTTTCATGAAGTATAAGAAATGGGATGAACAATTCTGAGTCTCACTTAATTTGTGGTCTGATAGATTTCTGCCCCTCATGTTATTTAAACTGTATTGACTAATATTAGCCCCCAGTTTATGACTATGTCCAGTGCTTAATTTCTCTGAATGCCTCCTATACAGGGCATGAGCCAAAAGGAGAGCTCTAGATCTGCCATGATGTACATTCAGGAGTTGAGATCAGGCTTGCGGGATATGCCTCTGCTTAGCTGCCTGGAGTCCCTTCGTGTCTCTCTCAACAACAACCCTGTCAGGTGAGGGTTCTGAGGAGTTAACAGGAGTAGGAACCCAACARTAGAGTTTACTGGTATGATTGAAGATCAAAGGAGTCGGGAAATATAAGGATGATCTGAATTGGGAATAAAGAGTTGATCATAAATAAGAAGTAATATTTATTGATTTGATATTGCATTGTCCCTGTCTTTTTCTTATAGTTGGGTACAAACATTTGGTGCTGAAGGTCTGGCCTCTTTATTAGACATCCTCAAACGACTTCACGATGAGAAAGAGGAGACTGCTGGGTAAGAAATTCCAGGTCTTTGCATCTTCAAGGTGGAGGGTTATAGGGTTATAGAATAATAACAGTTAAATGTATAGAATAGGAGCATATACTGTTAGCTGAGAATGGTTTTTGTTGTGGGGTGACCAGTGGATGAATGATGATTATAATTATAGGCAAAGGATGAGGAACTTGGAATTTCATGATGAATGTGATACATACACTTAAGATTACTTATCTCCCCCTTTTTCAGTCTGGAAGTAGGATCTGATTTTCTCCAGAGTGATCTAGTCTGGGTCATATCCCATATGGTGTCTTAAAATATACTTGATTAGCTTGGGACTACCTTTACAACAGTCTTCGTGATTGGAATAATTTGGGAATAACTTGGACTGTGTTAGGCTACCTTGGAAACCAGACTGAGCCAAAGTGACCTCTTTACCTCCTAGACTCTTTCTGAGACAAAAATAATACAGGGCCAGGACCTCCTACATGTACCTTCTCAGATCTGAAATCTTTTAAGTAGAGGGGCAAGCATCAGGATGTTATCCTGATAGAATTTAGCACTTAGAAGCCTAGAAAGAGTTAAAGGGTAAGTTATAATGTAATAATAAATTCTTGGATTACAGCCAAAGGTCTTTTATGATGGGGATCCCTCTTCATCTGCTTACTTTTGTCAGTGTTTCTGGGCTAAGTGCTATGTGCTGGACTTTACTTGGCTATTAGTTGGAGATATTCCTAAGATCCTTGTTTGCAAGGTTAAAAAGTCAATTGGGAAAGGGATGTAGAATAAAGAGACTTCACTGATTATGTCTTCTAATACAGGAGCTACGATAGCAGGAACCAGCATGAGATCATTCGCTGTTTGAAAGCTTTTATGAACAACAAGGTAAGATTTTTTTTCCCCTTCTTGTTCCAGTCCTCATCTGGACCTCCATTTGTTCTCTTCTCTTGGCAAACCCCAAAGTGAAAGTAGAAAAATGAGGTTGTCACTTTTAGTACTGAATCTGTTATTCATTGCCACATGTACATATTTCCATGGACCTTTTTTCCCAGCTCTAATTTGTTTCAGAATGTAATCTATAATTATTCTCTTGAATTGGGATATTATAAAGAATGGTGGCACACCATTATAAAGGTATAGTGGCACACACCTGTAATCCCAGTATCTCAGGAGGCTGAGGCTGAAGGATAGCAAGTTCAAAGCCAGCCTTAGTAACTTAGCAAGGCCCTAAGCARCTTGGCAAAAGTCAAAGATTCCAATAAGCTACCAGAAACTACAAGAGAAGGCATGAAACATTCTCCCTCAGTCTTCAAAGAAACAAACCCTGCTAACATCTGATCTTGGACTTCTAGCCAGAACTGTGAGACAGTAAATTTCTGTTGTTTGAGATACCCAAGAATGGGGATATAGCTCAGTGGTAAAGTAGTCTCCTGAGTTCTGGGATTACAGGTAGKATTACAGGCATGTGCTATCTTGCCTAACTGATGCTGTTATCTTTAAATCTCCTTCTCTGTTTTTGTCCTACCAGTTTGGAATCAAAACCATGTTGGAGACAGAAGAAGGAATTTTACTGCTGGTCAGAGCCATGGATCCTGCTGTTCCCAACATGATGATTGATGCAGCTAAACTGCTTTCTGCTCTTTGTATTCTACCACAACCAGAGGACATGTATGTGATTAGAGTTACTTCTTTTGTCCATTCTCATTTTTATCATCTGTTTAGAGTAGAGGAAAATTGAGTTGTTTAGATATTCTCTTGGTCTTAAATACTAGCTAAGACCATATTTCTTTTGTTTGTTTATTTATTTTGGTACCAGGGGTTGAACCCAGAGGCTCTCAACCACTGAGCCACATCCCTAGACCTTTTTAATTTTTTTTTACTTTGAGACAGGGTCTCACTAAGTTGCTTAGGGCCTCACTGAGTTGCTGAAGCTGGCTTTGAACTTGCATTCCTCCTGCCTCAGTCTCCTGAGCCACTGGGATTATACRTGTACCCCACTGCACTCAGCAAGACCATATTTCTTATCAGAAGTGAACACTGAGAATCTTTTTTCCCAATACTAGAGATTAAATCCAGCAGCGTTACATCCCCAGCCCTTTAAATTTTTTATTTTGAAAAAAGGCCTTACTAATATTGCTCAGGTTGGCCTTGAATTTGTAATCCTCCTACCTCAGCCTCCTAAGTAGCTGGGGTTATAGGCATGTACCACTGTGCTAAGAATTTTAATATAGATCGCACATTCCTAATCTGAATACCCAAAATGCTCCAAACTGAAACTTTTTCKAGTACCATCATGACATCCCCAAGTAGAAAATCTCATACCATAAAACTTTATTTTGTGCACAAAATTATTAAAAGTATTATTATGAAATTAACTTCATCTATGTGTATAAGGTATATATGAAGCATAAATAAATTTTGTGTTTAAACTTCTATCTATCTCATTCCTAAGATAACTCTCGTATATACTTAAATATTTCAAAGTCTGAAAAAATCTGAAATCTGAAACATAAGGTCAAGCATTTCAGTCCATCTGTATTTAGGAAAGATTCCTATCCTGAGTGTGCCATTGGTCATCAGGGTATCTGTTGCCTCTGCATTAATGTCTGTTTTGTCCAGGACATTTTTTTTTGTTCTGTTTTATGTACTATTTTGTTAATTCAGAATTAGCACAATATTATCTTAAAAATTCAAATGAAGAAATATATAAAGTAAAATTTAACATCCTCATTCAACCACCAAGTCCTATTCTACAGAAATTACACTGTTAATGGTTTTTCAAAGCACAAGCATATTAYATTTTCTTGATTTTGAATCATCTTCTCCCACCCCAAAAGAGGTGAGGAGTGATGGTTTTTGTCTGTAAAACCAACTGCATTAGATTTTTTTTTTTTTTTGAGGACAGGTTTAGCAAAAGTTAAATCATTCTTTTCAGCTTGTTTCTTTTTATTTATTTAACAGTAGATCTTGGACATCCTTCTTTGTCAGTATTTATAGATTTACCTTATTATCTTTAATGGCCATTTAGCATATCATGTATGTCCCGTAATTTATTTAATAACACTCCCATTGTTAGACTTTTAGGTGGACTAAATCAGGTTCTGGTTGTTGGTCTAGGAGATAAGAATTTTGCTATTAAAAATTATGCTATAAGAAATATCCTTATACATATTTTCATGTTTACATCTAATAGGTTGTAACTTATCTTTAGAAGTAGGCTAAACATTGTGTGCATTAGACCTTKAATAGTACTATTAAATGCCTCTCAAATAGTTGAACCAATTTATAACTTATAATATGGGTCTTTAATTTGGTATTCATGAATAGGAGTCTAGGATTGGATTTTAGGAAATAGATTTTTCTGAAGAAATGGCTTATAGTTTTTAGCAGATTCTGACTCCTGTTTTAGGAGTGACAAGAGATTAATTGGAGAAATCTAAAGCATTAATGATGCTTTCTAACTGGTCTGTACCCTGTGTTATTTACCCATAACATGTTAGAGCACCTGGCAGGACCCTCCCTTTCCTTTTTCTTGAGCAGGAATGAAAGGGTTTTGGAGGCAATGACAGAAAGAGCTGAGATGGATGAGGTGGAACGTTTCCAGCCGCTGTTGGATGGATTAAAAAGTGGGACCTCCATTGCACTCAAGGTATACCCCTTGAAACTAAGCCCAAGATTAAAGTTCAAGATGGAAAGACCTCATCTTATGTGGAGTATTTTCCAACAATATATTTTACATTTGAAAAATTGTTCTGAAGGGAAAATGATACAACCTTTTCTCTAAGAAGTCAAAGAAAGAACTTTCCTCATTGTGAGATTGAAAAAAAGCAAGATATCTATTTGTACATTAGTAAAACCAAGGTTCTCCAATAACATATACTGTCATATCCTTGGAATCATTTATATTTCTGAGGTCTCAAGGCCTGTGTTCAAACTAGGTTTCTGCTGTAGTAGAAAGGTTATTCCCATAGTTTTTGTACAACACCTTCTGGGTTTTATTTGGGAGTCCTGGAGTGCATGTAAAGAGGATGGAGTCTTGAGCTGTAGTAGTTACCATTGACATAGCTACTGAATTTTTTTTTTTTTTTTTTTTAGGTGGGATGCCTACAGCTAATCAATGCTCTCATCACTCCAGCTGAAGAACTTGACTTCCGAGTTCACATTAGAAGCGAACTGATGCGATTAGGGCTGCATCAGGTGTTGCAGGTAAGAGACAACACTTCATTAGAAAGTCTGGGTTGGTTCCTTCCTGCTCTTACAGCCTCAGTTATTCCCAGGATTACTGGTTTTAAACTTAAAAACCAAGTTGAAAGGTGTTGGTTTCTAGCCACATGAGACACTTTTGGATTCCCTCACTTCTATTTTTGTTATTGACAGGACCTTCGAGAGATTGAAAATGATGATATGAGAGTGCAACTAAATGTGTTTGATGAACAAGGGGAAGAAGATTCCTATGATCTGAAGGGACGGCTAGATGACATTCGCATGGAGATGGAATATCCTTTTGTTCACTGGACAGAGTCTTGGGACAGATGAAACATTCATTGCATTCAGTTACAGACCCTCATATGGAATGATCTGAGAGATGATTCAGTACAAGGCATGAGGCTGATGTGTCTTCTCAGTAAATAAGGCATGTGTCTTTTTATTACTGTTGGGTTTATTTACTTCTGTATAGACTAGGGAAGTCAATAAAGGTGGTCTGAGCGTTGTTCAACATGGACAGCCATCAAAATCACTTTAAACTTCCTAGAACATGATGGCTTAGCCCACTGAGATGTAGAGCTGACTTTAGATATGTTTGGGCTGAAGGATTAATTTGGTTAACTATTAGTATGTGCCACAAGGGACTTTGAGGTGGTTGTATTTTTAGTTTCTGTCTACTGCTTGATCTTTAAGCCAAGTACTAGGAATTCTCAGTCCCTTTAAAGTACTATCCTTATCCAAAGAAACTTAAAGTTTCTGGTAATATTAATGGGAGGAACAGCCATAATTAAGGTAGAAGTGGCATCTTGTTACTTTTCCTTTGTTTCTCCCAAAACTGAGCAAGCCATCTGTCAAATACAGTTTCTAAATTTTTGCTTTCCTTAGCCTGTTCCTTTTCCACTGACTTTAGTGAAGTCTTCCAGATTCTATTAAACACAGTGAAGGACTCAAAGGCAGAGCCACACTTCCTGTCCATTCTTCAGCACCTGCTGTTGGTCCGAAATGACTATGAGGCCAGGTAAGATGGTGTGCCTATGGGAAGTTTTGAATATGAGCTTAAATGGAAAGAGCAGAATCCTAATATTCAAAGACTGTCCTGTAAAAGGAAAAAGAAGAGAAAGACTGGATTCTGATTAGTCACAGATGAAGCCATCAGTAACCCCTTTAACCCAACTGAAAGGCATCCCTGTGGAAAAGGCCAGAGTATATAAATTGAAATACCTTTCCCACCAAAGAAGAAAAATAAACAATAAAAAATAAATAAATAAAATACCCTTCCTTTTGGAAGGGAGTAAATAGGGTGAGGATAACAAAGGGAGTTTGTAATTTAAAATCTTTCTTGTTACCTGGAAGTGGAAATTCAACAGTAGCACTGTTCATTATAGAGAGGGATCAAGCCTGAACATTTAAATGGGAAAGTATTGGCACTTGGAGGCAGATGGAAAGAACTTTTCCCCCCCACAGTGCTAGAGGTTGACTCCAGGACTTTTACACTAAACACATACTCTGCCACTGAGCTACATCCCCTCCCCATAAGAAGTTGATTATCTGGAATAGGAAGGGTGGGAGCTGACATGAAAGAAGGGGGATTTCTTACAGCACACAGAGGTGCTTCCATTAACTTTACGAAAAGTTCTTTTTTAGAACACATATCCTTAAGTCTTTCTAGTGTCAGTTTACTTTTCTTGATCCTGAATACTTCTGAAAATTATCCTTGACTTCCATTTGATAACTCTGTCTGTTCTGATTCTTCTGTAGACCACAGTACTATAAGTTGATTGAAGAATGTATCTCCCAGATAGTTCTTCATAAGAATGGAGCTGATCCTGATTTCAAATGCCGGCATCTCCAGATTGATATCGAGGGATTGATTGGTTAAGTATACTCTTCTATCCAGTTCCTTAAAGCATCCATTGCTTTTACTTTTCATTTTGCATCTTTCTGTCAATTATAATTTCAGAGAAGAAATCTTTCTGTTCCCCAGATATTTCCATTTTTGTCCTTTCTTAGGTCATAACCAACATCTTTGTTAGGAATGTACAGTCCTTATGTTTAACATATTTCTACATAAATCTAACATCCTGCCCTTTCTCATACATCACTTTTTTGTAGGGACTTCACCTATCATCTGTGATACTTGCTGGTTTCAGAGTTTCATAAATATAATTCAGGCATTGTTCATGCCACCCAGCATGTTAGCCTTGCTTTGCATTGAGAAATTATAGGTTGAACTTATCTAAAAGTCCTATTTCTTGGTCTAGTGCTGAACAGTAAGGATAATACAGATAACCAAATGGACAGAGGACTGCTCTTTRGTGTATTAAAAGGCTTAGGAATGAGAAGGAAACCAAGAGAACTGGGAACTTCATTTACTGACCTTTTTTCCCCCCTAGATCAAATGATTGATAAAACAAAAGTGGAGAAATCTGAAGCCAAAGCTACAGAGCTGGAAAAAAAGGTACATTTGTGGGATCAGTGGTAGACTACCTGCCTAGCACTCACAAGGTCCTGAGTTTGATCTCTAGCTTTATGCCCCCATCCCCAAATTGTTTTTATCCTCTTTAAAGTATATCTTTCTTTAAATGAGGGTTATTATTTTTCTAACATGCAAGACAATTTTTGTTCATATTTGAAAATACTCAGCATCTAATAGTCTTTAGGTTACATCTTTTCAGTATAGGTTAGTCATTGGAGAAGGGGTTATTGGATGTGAACACGAGGAGCTGAAGGTGAGCTTGCACAGCCCTTGAAGGACAGGAATGATAGATGATACTCTAATAGTGATGGCTCTTTCAGATTTGTTTGGCATCTCAGGTCTCTTATCCCTAGAATAATAGGAACTGGAATATGTTTGAGTTCTCTTTTTCTCTTTGATTGTTAAGGACTCCTATTATAGTTGATAGATTTTTATATTCTAGTGACTATGGAATCCTGGAGACCCCTTGCTAATAGGTTGGTTAAAGATCTTTCAAATCTTAAGGTTTTGTTTTGTGTTTTTCTAAATACAATCTTTTTTTTTAATATTCATTTTTTAGTTGTAGTTGGACACAATACCTTTATTTTATTTATTTTTATTTGGTGCTGAGGATCGAACCCAGGGCCTCACACAAGCAAGGCGATCTCGATCGCTTTACCACTGAGCCACAACCCCAGCCCAGGGTTTTGTTTTGTTAAACTGTGAAAGTAGGAAGACTATTAAAGGATCTTTAGTTCTCCTGTCTTTTATCCTTGACTTTAAGGTCAAAATTATAGTGCTTTTTCCCCCCATACATTGCCTGATATATAGGGTTAATGAGCTCTGCAGAGCAAGTACTGACACAAAATACCAATTTATGGGGAATAACACGTGGGCTTCTTAATTGGATGAAGAGTTTTTGGGGAGTCTAATTGCRAACCTAATTGCTTTCTTCATTAGCTGGACTCAGAGTTAACAGCCCGACATGAGCTACAAGTAGAAATGAAAAAGATGGAAAGTGACTTCGAGCAGAAACTTCAGGATCTTCAGGGAGAAAAGGATGCATTGGATTCTGAAAAGCAACAAATTGCCATAGAGAAACAAGACCTTGAAGCAGAGGTGTCCCAGCTCACAGGAGAGGTAACTTCTGAGCAAAGAAGGACTGTTACTGCTATCAGCTCACGTCTTGGGACAGGAGCCAGTCATCTCACTCTTAGGGAGGTGGCAGCTAATAGATAATGTAGTTAAATGGTGCATATCTTAAAAATCATTTACTGCTTTTAGTTTTGTTTGGGTAGTAAATAATATATACAACAAAACATTTAGAAAACATAGAAAAACCAAGAATAAAATGAGTTAAACAATTCTACCCATAAATAAAGGTAATAGACTTCTAATAAATTTTTAGGAGTAAAAATTAAACTCTTTATTTGTTAGTTTTCCCTTATTTTAATCATTAGTGGACAGAGTTATCCTCACTGTAGTTTTATAAATATTTAAGTGATCTGTAATATCTGATTATTTGATCACTTACGTAGTTCTATAATTGCCTTATAGCACCTTGGATATAACTAGAATATTTTATAATATTTTATTTGCTTGACCTCTGCATTTTATATCAGAGTTAAACTAAGAGTTGAAGTTGTGTTTTTTACTACAAAGCATACTCAGCTAAGAACATGACTTGAGTTCTGGGTTTGGCTTTGTCACTAAATGGCTGTGTAACTTTAGGCAAATCATGTAGACTGTTGAACTCCTCCCAGTCCTTCCATATGTAAAATGAGAAATTTGGGTTAAGTAGTTTCTTAGGTTCCCCCGTAGACCCTGAAATGGGGGACAAGTATTCTTATAAGTGTTGTTTCTGTAGGTTGCCAAGCTGTCAAAAGAACTGGAAGATGCCAAGAAAGAAATGGCTTCTCTCTCTGCCTCAGTTGTTGCTATAGCTCCTTCTGTTCCTAGTAGTGCCACTGTTCCTCCTGCCCCTCCTCTACCTGGTGACTCTGGCACGGTTATTCCACCTCCAGCCCCTCCTTTATCAGGAGGGGTTAGTATACCACCCCCACCTCCTCTTCCTGGAGGTGCTACCATTTTTCCTCCTCCACCTCCACCTGCTCCTCCTTTGCCTGGAGTTGTTTGCATCCCTCCACCCCCTCCTTTGCCTACAGGTACTGGCATCCCTCCTCCCCCTCCTTTGCCTGGAGGTGCTGGCATCCCCCTTCCACCTCCCTTGCCTGGAGGTGCTGGCATCCCCCTTCCACCTCCCTTGCCTGGAGGTGCTGGCATCCCCCTTCCACCTCCCTTGCCTGGAGGTGCTGGCATTCCCCCACCACCTCCGTTGCCTGGAAGTACTAGCATCCCTCCACCACCTCCCTTACCTGGGGGTGCTTGCATCCCCCCACCTCCTCCCTTGCCTGGAGGACCAGGAATGCCACCTCCCCCTCCTCCTCTTCCTGGTGGTCCTGGAATCCCTCCACCACCTCCATTTCCTGGTGGCCCTGGCATTCCTCCACCTCCACCTGGAATGGGTTTGCCTCCGCCTCCCCCCTTTGGATTTGGGGTACCAGCAGCCCCAGTTCTGCCATTTGGATTAACTCCCAAAAAGATTTATAAGCCAGAGGTGCAGCTCCGGAGGCCTAACTGGTCTAAGGTGAGAGTTTCTATTCATTTCATCAGTAAATTTTTAAAATTTTTTTGATATCAGGGATTGAACCCAAGGGCATTTAACCACTGAGCCACATCCCTAGCCCTTTTTTATATTTTTTATGTTGATACAGGGTCTCCTTGAGTTCCTTAGTGCCCCATTGAGTTACTGAAGCTTGCCTTGAACTTGTGTTTCTCCTATCTCAGCCTCCCAAGTTGCTGGGATTACAGGTGTATGCCACTTTGTGGCAAGCGGYGCTATTAATAATTACTCAGAGGCAGATTGTCTTTAAATGAAAGCATATATTCGATCACACCAATCATCAAATATAAACAATTAATGTAAACAGTGTTGGGTGTGCTGGAGCACCCCATCTAGCATTCAGTGCAAACTAATTAAATACTATAAGCAAATCACACAATCCTAGGGCAACCACGAGCTCCAAAATACCTCTGAAGCCACACAACTTCTCTTAGCCAAAGAGCAGATGTTGTCCTTGTATCGTGGTTCTCTCCAGCCAGTGGCTGGACACTGGGGAATAGTGGAGTCATTTCAGGCACAGACTGCAAGGCGATGTCCCAGGAGCAAAATTCTTCAATGTGACAGGATAAGCCATTTAAATACAGTTCTAAATTGGTGGTGTACATTGGTGATTGGTTACACCCACTGAAAGTCAATGTCCATTGGTTATGTCCAGTGAAGTGATGTAATTACAACTGGGTATGTTCTTTGTGCATGTGCATGGAGCTATACTCCCTATCAATTATAACCAGTCATTGCTAAGCATGCCCATGGCTAGTGCCCCTTAAAGCTCTTTATCAATTGCAAGCAGACATGACTAAGCAGTTCAATGGCTCTGTTCCTTATGGCCAGCAACTTAGTGAGTTCCAGCATGTCTATGGCAGGTGCTCCTTACAGCCACCATATCCAATTCAYCAGATCTTAAGAAATCACTTCAGGGCTGGGTGTAGTGGTACATACTTATAATCTCAGCAGCTTGGAAGGATGAGGCAGGAGAATAGAGAATGGCAAATTCAAGRGCAACCTCAGCAATTTAGAGAGATCCTGTGTCAAAATAAATTATAAGGGCTAGGGATGTAGCTCCTCGGTAAAGGGCCCCTGGGTTCAATCCCCAGTTCCAAAATCATTTCAATTTCCTGCTTTGTATTTTGTGCATGGGTAGGCTTCCCTTCCTCATGGCTCTCATTTATCCACCTTCAAGTTCCACTTCTACTTATGTTTATTCAACATGTCCTATATTTCAGACATTATCCTGGAAAGTTCTGTGAGCTTTGTACTCTGAATTTATCCTAACTAAACTTATTCTTAAGCTAAAAACAATTTTTTTTTGTTTTGCCTTTTCTTTGAGKATATGAGTACCATGACAGTTGGACAGTAGACACTAGTAATTTCACCAGTCTGCAAATGACTGAAATTGTGCTGTTTCACTCCCACTCCCAAGAAAAGAGTTATACACAGACCATGCAAACATGGCTCATAATGTGTTTGAGATTCCTATGATTTTTGAGTTAGCCTTTTTCTCCCAGAAACTAAGTTAAAATGAAGTTAGGCAAATGGATTATAAAAATATAGAGTACTTCTGAACTTGAAGATTTGGGATAAGAAGGAGGAGGAGTAGTAGCATAACCGAATCTAGTTCTTGAATAATCACCAGTGAACAAACTGGAAACATCATCTGATCCCACCACAGATTACAGCTGTTATCTGTGTTTTAGGTTAGTCTTATTGGAGTAAAAGGTTGTTGATAACCAGCCAGATGCTTCTTTTGCATCTTCATTAGTTTTCTAGGATGGAAAGTTTAGGCCTCAGATTAGTAACTCTTTAACCCCTCCCTGCCTGTATCCCCACAGTTTGTGGCTGAGGACCTTTCCCAGGACTGCTTCTGGACAAAGGTGAAGGAGGACCGCTTTGAGAACAACGAACTTTTCGCCAAACTTACTCTTACCTTCTCTGCCCAGACCAAGAGTGAGTACCTTCCTCTTTAATGTCAAGGTCTAGTATAGTGCTTAGGTGTCACTTAAGTTAAATTTCCCATTCTCTTCCCTTCCCTGGGTTAGAGGGGAAAGAGAGTATTGGGTAGAAGAGAGATGGGTTTTCCTAATCAGAACAAAATAAGATGTATTATGTGTACTGGATTGGGGAAAGAAACCTGTTGTGCGTAGGCATTCTGTGTCAGTATAACTTGTGGGAATATAAGATTAAGGTTTCAGAAGCTCAGTTTGGGCCTGTTTTGATGGTACTCTTAAATGAACTGTTGTACTGCCTTACGGTGCCATTTCCATACTTGAGTACTTAATCAAGTAAGGATTGTTGAGAGTTTTAACAGGTTGGGTGGCTGAGCAATAGTCTATGATAATAAAACACAATGTGTAATCTCTTTCTATTTTTTTTCCAATATCTGATGCTTACTCCTTCTTCACCGTTTGCTCCTGTAGCTTCCAAAGGTAAGAATACAGAAGAGCCTTTTATTTGGGTCTCTTGAATATTAGAGAGAAAAGATGAAACAAATGTAACAGATTTTTCTCTTTAAAAAACTGATACCAGGGCTGGGACTGTAGCTCAGTGGAAGAGCGCTTACCTAGCATGTGTGAGGCACTGGATTTGAACCTCAGCACCACATAAAAATAAACAATAAAATAAAGTCTTGCTGTCCATCTACAACTWCAAAAACTGATATCAAAGATTAAGACTTAATTTCTTTTTCGCTAGATTTTTTTTTTTCCCTAGAGTTCCAAAATACCAGTAGCTATGGTGTTGACTATAGGGAAAAAAGTTATTTTAAGTTAAAGCTCTCACATACTGTTSTTTCTTTGGAAGGTGAGGGACAATTTAAGTAAGTATTATCACCATTACCTTACATATATTTTGCATTTTACAGTTTTCAAAGTGCTTTAACACTTTTACTACCCCATTTAAACTGCAGTGAAGCCTTATGAAACAGGTAGATGTGTATAGTCTCTATTCTGAGCATATATAAACAGCTTTCCCATTGACTTATAGTCCATGATTTCTATAGTAAACTCTTATCTTTTTTTACCTTCATGTCTTCCCTCTATTTTTCTTTATTTTTTGGTACCAGGGATTGAACCCAGTGGTTAACCACAGAGCCACATCTCCAACCCTTTTATTTTTTTGAGACAGAGTCTCGCTAAGTTACTCAAGGCATTGCTGAGTGACTGAGGTTGGCTTTGAACTTGTGATCCTCCTGCCTCAGACTCCTTCTTTCATTTTAGAAGAACTGATCCACTTTGTTATCTTCACTTTCTAATTCTTGTGATTTTGTTCTGCTTTGTGATGGGACACTTCTCATTTCCTGAGAGACCCAATATTTGAAAGATTTTGTCATGTATCACAATTACAGACTAATAATTTTGTATTTCCCTCATCAGTTAGCATTATTATTTACTTGAAGGTTAATCATGACACTAGTGATGAAAATTAAGAGCAACTTTGGCATATTTCTTTTCCCTGTTTCCTTCTATCCCAGTAAGTAGCATTTTTAAAAACAATTATTATTTTTAGTTAGGAAGCAGGTTGCACTTTGTTCTAATAAGGAACCTAACAGAGTGCTAGGCACCTTTGGTCACTCCCAGTTATATGTGTGTTTCKGTCTAGAAGTGAAAGATCACATTGTTCAAGCCTRTCCTTTTTCCTATCATTCAAGGCAAAGTGGCCATTTCTTCTGACATTTTTCACCTTCCATGCCAAAGTCTAGCCTTAGGAAATTACTTCTACACTCTTAGTTAAAAAAACATGGTGGTGACCACTTATACTACTCTAATTTATTATCAAAGAGTAGTTGACAGTAAAAGTCAAAATCAAATGATTTTTTTATCCTTGTGTTGGTGTTTAGAATTTATCCCTTTCTTGTACTTGGGCTCTGTGCTCTGAGAGCCACTGCAAATACACAATAACTGGACCCCTTTTTTGTCTCCATCTTTCTTTTATTTTGTACGTTTGTATTTTTATTGATTTTAATTGGGGTTTCTGCAGTTTATTGGTCATCTTTGACATTAATTTCATTATGAATTGATATGTATTTGAACAAACAAGACCTCTCATCTTTTGTTATTTTCAAAAACATAACCCAAACTCTTTAGTACTCCATTAGCCTCCAGCTTCTGCCTAGGAAAATACTTTCTATTCATTGAAATTTCCTAGCAGCTTTGGCTTTAAAAAGAAAAATGTATTTTTAGAAATTTCTATCTTTGTTTTTTTTTTTTGGCAGGGGTGGTGGGGGTCAGTTACTGGGTATTGAACTCAGAGGCACATGACCACTGAGCCACATTCCCAGCCCTATTTTGTATTTTATTTAGAGACAGGGTCTCACTGAGTTCTTAGTGCCTTGCTTTTTGCTAAGGCTGGCTTTGAACTTGCAATCCTCCTGTCTCAACCTCCTGAGGCATTGGGATTACAGTCATGCACCACCTCACCCAGCATTCTTTATCATTCATTCTTTTTTAAAGAATAAGTATAAATTAGTCCACTTAGTTTAGTTTAGTAGGGGTATCAATTTCTCATGTAATAATAATTACCATTAATGAATTGCTACTATTTTGATGAAGGAAATTTCTAGCTGGTCTTTATAAATCTCTTTAATTGAAGTTACAACTTTCAGGTGTTACTCTGGCATACTGTTTTAATTTCCCAGTCTTTTCAGTAGGAAGCATTTGAGAAGGTGTTCTTGAAAATTACTAAATCTTGAGCAGTTTTCCATAAATGATAAATTTTAATCATTTTAAAAAATTCTGGGATAGATTTTTTTTCTGTCTTTAGTGCTTATTGTTTGCCCACTTCTTAACAGTTATTTGCAGTACTTGAATGCAATAAAACATTTCTTTTTTTTATCAGCCATGTAGCTATGAATGTTTTTAATAATTTCTTCCCCTTTTAAAAAATTATTTCTTGGGCTGGGGATGTGGCTCAAGCAGCAGCGCGCTCGCCCGGCATGCGTGCGGCCCAGGTTCGATCCTCAGCACCACATACAAACAAAGATGTTGTGTCCGCCGAAAACTAAAAAATAAATATTAAAATTCTCTC